AAATTGTTAGGTAATAGTACACACATGTAAGATTTTGATATATATTGTCAAACTGCCCTCCAGAAAAGTTGCAATAATTTGTACTCCTACCAACAGTGCACAAGAGTGCCTGCTTTGTTTATATTGTTAATTTGAGGTATTGTTAATCCTCCTTTCAACCTTTGCCAATCTGATAAATGATAAAATCTTACCTTGTTTTAATTTTCACTTCTTTGATTACTGGTGAGGTTGAATATCTTTTCATATATTTATATGTTTCTATCTGTGTAAATTGTCTGATCATGTCCTTTCCTGATATATTTGCTAGAGTAATTTGTCTTTTTAATTTTAAGAGCTTTTTTTTTTAAATTTTATTTATTTTTTATTATTATTTTTTCAACGCTTATTTATTTTTGGGACAGAGAGAGACAGAGCATGAACGGGGGAGGGGCAGAGAGAGAGGGAGACACAGAATCGGAAACAGGCTCCAGGCTCTGAGCCATCAGCCCAGAGCCTGACGCGGGGCTCGAACTCCCGGACCGCGAGATCGTGACCTGGCTGAAGTCGGACGCTTAACCGACTGCGCCACCCAGGCGCCCCAAGAGCTTTTTTTTTAAGAACTCTTTTTATGTTAGATATAGCAACTCTTTATCTGTTATATATGTTGAAAAAATCTTTCTCTGGTCTGTGGTTTGTCTTTCAAGCTTGCTTCTAATGCCATTCAGAAGATTTTATTTATTTATTTTTAAAAGTTTTACTTATTTATTTTTGAGAGTGAGAGAGTGGGGGAGGGGCAGAGAGAGAGGAAGAAGAGAATCCCAAACAGGCTCTGCACCATCAGCATGTAGCCCTATGTGGGGCTCGAACTCAAGAACCATGAGATAATGACCTGAGCTGAAATCAAGAGTTGCATGCTTAACAGACTGAGCCACCCAGGTGCCTCAGAAAATTTTAATTTTTATGTTGTAAAAGTTACTAGTTTTGGGGCGCCTGGGTGGCGCAGTCGGTTAAGCGTCCGACTTCAGCCAGGTCACGATCTCGCGGTCCGTGAGTTCGAGCCCCGCGTCGGGCTCTGGGCTGATGGCTCAGAGCCTGGAGCCTGTTTCCGATTCTGTGTCTCCCTCTCTCTCTGCCCCTCCCCCGTTCATGCTTGGTCTCTCTCTGTCCCAAAAATAAATAAAGGTTGAAAAAAAAAATTAAAAAAAAAAAAGTTTACTAGTTTTCCTTTTTGATTCTGGTTTTTGGATGATGTTTACATCTTGCCATTGTGTTTATAAAATATTCACCCATATTTTCTCTGAGAAATTTTATGATTCAATTTAATCTTTGATTAATCCCATATTTGTTTATTTATTCACTTATTTTAATTAATTAATTTATTTTTTTAATATGAAATTTATTGTTAAATTGGTTTCCATACAACACCCAGTGCTCATCCCAACAGGTGCCCTCCTTATTTATTTATTTTTAATGTTTATTTTGAGAGAGAGAGAGAGAACACGGGGGAGGGGCAGAGAAGGAGGGAGACACAGAATCTGAAGCAGGCTCCAGGCTCTGAGCTGTTAGCAGAGAGCCCGATGCAGGGCTTGAACCCCATGAATTGTGAGATTATGACCTGAACTGAAGTTGTATGTTTAACCAACTAAGTCACCCAGGTACCCTGCCCAGTATTTATTTGGGTATGTGAAGTGAGGCAGGGACCTAGTTTCCTAATATTTTATTTATTTTTGAGAGAGAGAGAAGCAGAGAGAGAGAAGCAGAGAGAGAGGGAGGCACAGCTTCTGAAGCAGGCTCCAGACTCTGAGCTGTCACCTGATGCGGGGCTTGAACTCATGAACTGTGAGATCATTACCTGAGCCGAAGTCCAACACTTAACCGACTGAGCCACCCAGGCACCCCTGTTTACAGTAGTTTTAATATTTGGTAGAGCCAGCTTCTCTCCCTTACTCCATTATCACTGTCGTTTTTAGAATTTTTCTGACTATAATTGCATGTTTTTTGGGAAAGTGTTTTTGTTTTTTTTTTAACAAGGTGTAATGCTACCTTATTAACTAATTTGTATTCTTGGTTGCTTACTCTCTTTTAACCCACTCTATTAATGAGAGTCTTAATAAGCTCTCATTAGAGTCCGAGCTGTTCACCTGTCTTATGTGCTATTTATTTCACCACTTCTGCAATAATTTGTCAAAGAGCAGCAGAATGAAATTTATAGTTTATGCTAGGGTAAGGGAAGATAAGCTACAGCCTGTTGAGTGCCATTTAATGGCATTTCACTACTCATTCTTGCACATCCTTAATATGCACCTGCTTCCTTTATTATCCCCTTTCCTCTTCTTTTACTTTTTTTTTCTGTCTCTTTTAATTCTTCTTCCTTACTTGTAACATCTACGGAGGCTACTAGATCAAAAACAAAAACATTGGAGAAATCCATACGACGACATAAGGGGTTTAACCCTTTCTGCATATTTTTCTTATTCACTGGCCCTTTCAATGGAGTAGTAACAGTTCAGTAAGTCCTGAATTTGGTGGCATATTTACAACCAGTATTAATCAATAGAGCCATTTGATTCTTGTATGCCTTATAAAATCTTGGATAACACAATATCCATTCTACTACAGACATATTTTGTAAGTAATCTGTACACCTAACACGGGGCTTGAATTCATGTCCCCAAGATCAAGAGTTGCATGCTTGGGATGCCTGGGTGGCTCAGTCAGTTAAATGTCCAACTCTTGAGGGGCACCTGGGTGGCTCAGTTGGTTGAGTGTCCGACTTTGGCTCAGGTCATGACCTCATGGCTAGTGAGTTCGAGCCCTGTGTTGGGCTCTGTGCTGACATCTCGGAGCCTGGAGCCTGCTTCAGATTCTGTGTCTCCCTCTCTTTGCCCTTCCCCTGCTTGCACTCTGTATCTCTCTCTCTCAAAAATAATAAATAAACATCAAAAAACTTTTGAAGAAAAAAAATGTCCAACTCTTGATTTCAGCTCAGGTCATGATCTCAGGGTCGTGAGGTGGAGCCCTGTGTCTGGCTCTGTGCTGACAGCAAGGAGGCTTCTTGGGATTCTCTCTCTCTCTCTCTCTCTCTCTCTCTCTCTCTTTCTGTGCCCCTCCCCTGCTCGTGCTTTCTCTCAAAATAAATAAATAAACATTAAAAAAATTAGAAAAAAAGAGCCGCATGCTCTTCTGACTGAGCTAGCCAGGCACCCCTACTACAGACATTATTAATCACTAAGAGCTCTAAGATGTATGTGAAAGGACCACCCTGGGCTTGACAGACAAGGTCTAATTTTCTCCCTGTTCCCTGTTCATTTATGAACAAAGAAGTTATGGTAGAGCCAGGGTCCTTGGTGGGATGATGGAAGTTGGGAGCCCTTAGTTTGTCAACAGGGAAATGGGGAACAATAATGGGAACTAACATTTGCTATCATATGTTAGCCACTGTTCTAGATGCCTTGTGTATACTATTCTATTGAACGAGAATCCTAGAACTACTTTTATTTCCATTTTACAGAGGCAAAAATTGAGGCAGTGAGACTGTAAGTAGCTAGCACAGAGTATGTGGTGCATGAGGATTCAGTCAACTATGCGATACTCTACCGCCCTTTTCCACCAGACTTCTTCCCCTAATTTAGCAATCTAGGATTGTAAAATGAATACCAAATTGCAGGATGCAAAAGAAGAGGAGTAATAGCTGTACTTTCCCTGTTTTCCCTTTTTTGTTCACTGTACTATGTGATCTGGCAGAGAATTTTGAAGAGGGAAAAGAAATTATTTTTAGAAACTCCATGTTTTCCATGATAAGTAATGCCTGACTCTGAGACTGTCAGGGTCAGGAGGAAACTCTCAATGTTCCCAGAATTGAGGCCACAACCTCTTTTTTTAATCCTGCTAGCCAGCCTCACATCTGGCTTGACTGAGGTGCACAAGACTTAAAAGAGGGGTATGTGAGGGAACAAACGGAAAGCGTGTTAATGTTTTGATTTTGGATTTTCCCCCCAAATTTGGAGACTTCATGCCTTAACCCTGTTGTCTCTGAATAGAGATTTCAGTAAAAGGCCACTCCTTGGTTGCAAGCATCACTCCATAGATTTAGCTGGAACCAAACATGTTTCTTTATATATTCCACTCCCATCCCTAAAACCATTTGTTTGGAAATGGATGGGACCCCTGCCCTTACTGCGAGCCTTGCAGGGGAATCATTAATTTCCCTCCGATATGACAAAGGCATGGCAGCAGAAACATGTTTTGGAACTACAGGGTTTTTCATTCCTCTCAACTTCTTTTTTTTTTAATTTTTTTTCAACGTTTTTTATTTATTTTTGGGACAGAGAGAGGCAGAGCATGAACGGGGGAGGGGCAGAGAGAGAGGGAGACACAGAATCGGAAACAGGCTCCAGGCTCCGAGCCATCAGCCCAGAGCCTGAAGCGGGGCTCGAACTCACGGACCGCGAGATCGTGATTCCTCTCAACTTCTAATATTTCTTCTTAATTTTTTTAAAGTTTATTATGAGAGAGAGAAAGATGCAGAGAGAGAGAAAGAGGCAGAGAGGGAGAGAGAATCCCAAGCAGGCTCTGCATTATCAGGGCAGAACGTGATGGGGCGGGGCGGGGCTCAAACTCACCAACCATGAGATCATTAACCTGAGATGAAACCAAGAGTCAGACACCTAACCAACTGAGCCACCCAGGCACCCATCTACTTTTGATATTTCTGACCTTTAACAATCTAAAACTAGTGGGCAACACTGTTTATCTTTCTTCCTCCCTCTCTCTTTCCCCTTCCTCCATCCCTGTCTCCTTTTTCTTTGGAAGGCTTGCTCTGCTTGCCTGCACCCCTCTCTCAATAACTGTAGTATACTTCCGGTATTGCACGACATTCCCTTACTCTCAGTGATTCTCACCCTGGCCCTCTAAACTGCAACCCCTGGACTTAAAGGGCCTAGACGCTTATGACGCTTACGATTCCCATCATAGGTGAAGGCCAATTGGGCGTGGCATTGGTGACGTCGCAATCGGGGGAGGTGCCTTCTGAGCGTCGACTGGCACTGGGCGCAGAGTTTGTGGAGAAGAGGCTTGGGCCGTGGCGTTCTCCGCTAAGGTGCGTGATTTAGTAGGTAGAAGGGCTAAAGGTGGGTCAGCCATGGGCTAGTTGAGTAGTTTATAACTAGAAGGAAGATGTGGCCCGCATTTAAACACTTTTTAGAGTGGCCCTGAGGCAGTGGTTTTGAACTACAGAGTTGCTGTAGCTGACTCTCAGGTGAAGGAAAATGGCCAAAGGCAGTTTTTTTTTGTTTTTTTTTGTTTTTTTTTTGTTTTTTTTACTTGGATGAAGTATGGGATTGGTTCGCGGCCACTGGAAGCAGTAGATAAAAGTTTGGATGTGAATGACCAAAATTCTGTTAAAGCCGGAGGGTCGGAGATTGTTGGGGGCGGGGAGCTGAAGGCGCTAGCTGGCTCTGCGAGAGCGGGGAAAAAAGACAGTGAGTGATTGGATACTTTGAACATGTGGGCAGTGGAGGGGGGGGATTTTGAACCAATTAGGAGACCATGTGTGTCAGCTGGACCAATCACAGGATACCCCGGGCCCTGGTTTCCTTGTGGCGGTTCCGAGCTGCCGCCCCCATTGGACCGCCACAGCCTGGCGCCGCGCCTGTTGGGCGTTGCGCATGTTTGGCGCTGCGGTAGCCTGGGCCGGGCCCCCCCCCCCCCCCCCCCCGTTAACTGGTTTTTCAGGGTTTTAAAATTTCTTCAGCATTTTGCCCCTTAGGACAACAAGTAACTGGAAAATTTGAAAAGAAATTTATTGAGGATAAAGGACAGAATATTGAAAATATTTTCTTATTTCATAGGTCTGAGCCAGAGATTTAATAATGGACGAAACGGATTTTCGTTTCATGGACTTTAAAGGTATATAGCTTTAAATGGTAATGAAGAAAAATGTCACACTGTTTGTTGCCTTATCTAAGATCCTCTAAATGGATTTTGTTTCTGAATTTTATCACTTTGGTCCAAATTTTCCAAATTTAGGTCCAAAGTTTCTCATTTATGTACAGGAAAAACAACATAGATGTTTGACACTGGAACCCTTTTATAAGCTGGTACAGGGAAACAATTCGCAACTCATCGATTATTTTCTGACAATTTTTATGGCATGCAAAATAACAATGGTTTACTCTGAATTAGATATCAATTGTGTTGAAAGTGCATTAAAAATATTACTGCAAGATCCTGAAGTGACTTGCCATAATTAACAGTTAAAAATAAATTCTATCCTGGGTAGTTTTATTTATTTATTTTTTCTGTGTAGTTTTAAGTTTAAGTGCATTTTATTGTGTCTTAATTATTTTGAAAACTGGTAATCCATGTATGGTATTTATGGGAAATCATAATAAACCAAAGCAATTTGATTTGACCAGAACACCAGATTCCTCAATCATACCAGACATGAGAGAGTTTATGGTATTTCCTTTTTTCTGGGAACATGATTAGACCTGTGGTGCATTCATATTCATATTATAGTGAAGTATGTTTTAACCAGCATGGCTATAAATCTATTAGGTTGATGTTTCATTAATGCTTGTCGTTTATTATTATTATTTATTTATTTATTTTTAGTATGAAATTTATTGTCCAGTTGGTTTCCATACAACACCCAGTGCTCATCCCAAAAGGTGCCCTCCTCAATACCCATCACCCACCCCCCCTTAAACCCTCAGTTTGTTCTCAGTTTCTAAGAGTCTCTTATGGTTTGGCTCTCTCCCTCTCTAACCTCTTTTTTTTTTCCTTCTCCTCCCCCATGGTCTTCTGTTAAGTTTCTCAGGATCCACATAAGAGTGAAAACATATGGTATCTGTCTTTCTCTGTATGACTTACTTCACTTAGCATAACACTCTCCAGTTCCATCCACATTGCTACAAAGGGCCATATTTCATTCTTTCTCATTGCCATGTAGTATTCCATTGTGTATATAAACCACAATTTCTTTATCCATTCGTCAGTTGACAGACATTTAGGCTCTTTCCATAATTTGGCTATTGTTGAAAGTGCTGCTATTTGACCCATTCATTCTTTAGTAGGGTGTTCTTTAACCTCCATGCTTTTGGAGGTTTTCCAAACTTTTTCCTGTGGTTGATTTCAAGCTTCAGAGCATTGAGGTCTGAAAGTATGCATGGTATGACCTCAATTCCTGTATACTTATGAAGGGCTGTTTTGTGACCCAGTATGTGATCTATCTTGGAGGATGTTCCATGTGCACTCGAGAAGAAAGTATATTCTGTTGCTTTGGGATGCAGACTTCTAAATAGATCTGTCAAGTCCATCTGATCCAATGTATCATTCAGGGCCCTTGTTTCTTTATTGATCCTGTGTCTAGATGATCTATCCATGTTTGTAAGTGGAATATTAAAGTCCCCTGCAATTACCACATTCTTTTTTTTTTTTCAACGTTTTTTTTTTTTAA